CGGTCAGTGGGGGTCGGCGGGCCGGGTGTGGCCCGCAGGCTGTAGGTTGCCGACCCCTGCTTTAGAGAGATCACAAGACAATATAACTCACTAGAGAATAGACAGGAGGCACGCACAGTAAGCCAACAGTTGCAATAGTCTTTATCTCTTATCTGCCATGCACGCATCTCTCTGCACATACAAATGTGGATGACCCTTCAAATAAACAGTGTGTCTGCTTAAACAGGTTTCTTGTTTCTTCCTACTGTCCTTGGCAAAGCATGGCTAATACCTCTGGGCAAGGAACAGCTGCTGGGGAGAAGGAAGACCCTCAGATGGAGAGTGACAGCGGGAAACAGTCTCCAAATTGGAGCCATTTATCACAGGGTGACAAGGCCGCCGTGGCGACAACTAGGGTCTCTGCTGCAGCCATGGCTTCTGCCACTTTGCCTCTATTTATTTTATTTATTTATGGGATACATATCCCACCTTGTTCCCAAAATGGGACACAGTCTACTTTACCATCCTACTCTGACTCCGGTGGAGCACTTGGTCCTTCATGTCTAAACATAGGGATGCTATAGCCCAGACATGTTCAGGAGCTACACCTCAGCCATTAGGAAAAGTTACTTGCCTTGGCCAGCAGTTCCCAGAATCCCCCAGCCACCATGGCTGTCCTTTGGCAAATCTGAGGTCAAAACTTTGTTGTGAGCCCTGACTAGGATAACAGTTATTCCTCAGTTAACAAAGTCAGTACATTTCTGGGCATTAACAGAAAATTTGGTAGCCAAGTCAGAAATAATATGGAAAGAAGAAGGGTAGGTTCCTGAACCATAGGAGAAGGAGAAGAGAAAGAGAACGAGAAGGGGGGGGGGAGAAGAAAAAGAATAGCTCAACATGTTTTAGCAATTTTTCTTTAAAAAATCCAAAACTAATAATATTTGTAACAATACCAGCTCACATAAACCTTCCATAGATAAAGAGAAACGTTTTGCATCATGTACCATTAGAAAACATGGAAGCCCATGTCCCTGGCTGAGCCAAAGAACCCCTATGCTGCTGAATACAATAACATCCAAAATCCAGGCTGCTACTGAAATCCTTGACGGAGTACCTTTTTCCATCCTGCTCCATACACTCCAGGAGAGCTTTATTAATTCTGACAGGGAGCTTCTGCCTCTGCTGAGCTGCCTTTGATTCCTTTCTCCCTTCTACAAGACTTCAATGCGGTGGCTAGTCTAGGCCGGCCATTCATCATACTTAAACTACCTGTCGTATCCGGGCTATGATGAAGCCAACCTTCCCTTGCGCCTCGCCACCCCCCTTCCTCCCATGCGTCTTCCAGGACTGACAGCAGGTACACATGGTAATCATATGCTCAGGCATGCATGCACTTAACTCCAGTGTGGCCGGTGGACAACAGAATGGAAAATAGTGTACTCTGTCTCTTTTCTTGCCCCATCCACAGCATTATAGATGGGTTTGCATCTCTTGGAGGATGTTGCATCCCATGGGGGGAATGGATATATGCCCATTCTAGAAAGCAGGGGTGGGCAGGGTTGATCCTGAGGCCACATGTGGCCCCCCAAAGATGTTTTTGCTCCCATTCCCCAGCTCCCCTGGACTGCCCTTTTTCTGGACACACACACACACACAGACACAAAAGCAAATTACCTCTTCTGGGAGATTTTAGAAGTGTCTGTTCGCCTTTTAAAAATGTTACTCACATATTGGTCAGAGTCCTGTTGGTGTCTTGTCACTGTTGTTTGGCATCAAGTCAACTTTGACTTATAGCATCCCTATCAATGAAAAGGACAATAGCATCCAAAATCAACAAAACAGTGATACCTATATTGAGTCAACCAAAATGCATAAAATATATGTTGCTAGCTTTCAAAGCTCCGCTAGATTCTTTATCTGTTAAAAATAATATTGCGGGGGGGGGGGGATGACAATGTTAGTCACAGCCCTTTATTTTGTCACACTGTTGGTGTTGTGGTTCTGAGTCTGGAGGGATATCTATGCAAGTAGGCTGGTTATCCTTCTGGCCATGGAGTACTGGGAGATAAAGCATTTTAAAGTCCAGAAAATTTAAATTCCATTAGCAAAACAAAAAGGCACTTGCTATGAAATCCAGGCTGTCCTAGTCCTTTGTGAGGCCACAAACTTTGTTGTTGTTGTTATTGTTATGTTTTTGTTTGCTTTCAAGTCATTTCCAATTTATGGTGACCCTAAGGTGAATCTAACATGGAGTGTTCTAGGCAAGATTTGTTCAGAGGAGGCTTGCCATTGCCTTTCCCTGATATTTAAATGATATAATATAATACATACGGTATATTTATATTTTATATATTTATATATGTTACATATTTGTGCATTTTTGTTGGCCCAATAAAGGTATCACTGATTTATGGATTTTGGATGTTATTGTACATTGCTATATGACCAGCATGGTTACCCCTTGATATGTTTGATATGTTCATCCAATGAATGAAAATTAACTTCCTTAGAATCAATCCATCTGTAATATGGTCTTCCTCATTCCCCGCTGCCTTCTACTTTCCTTAGCATTATGATCTTTTCTAGTGAGTTATATTGTCTTGTGCTCTCTTTAAAGCACAGCACCCTCAGTTTAGTCATCTTTGCTTTAAGGAACAGTTCAAGGTTGACTTACTATTCTTTTGGCCAATTCACAGTCCCTGTAAAACTCTTCTCCGTCATCACAGTTCAAATGCATTGATTCTCTTCCTGCCAACTTGCATAAAGGTCTCTAAGGACGTTATCACACGGGGGAAATCTGTTGGTTAATCCACACAAATCCCAAACAAAAAGTAAATTTGCACCTCACGATTTCACATGACGTCACACAGAAGCTGGTCAGAAACTGGACAGAAACTGATATTATCTGAGATCTTTTTAAT